CTTAGGCAGACGTGCAGAGAAGCCTTCCGCCCTTTGCTTCCGACAGGACGAGGGTTGTAGGTTAGAGAAGGGGGGACAGTGGAGGGGCCGGAGATTGAATTGGTATCCGACCATTTCACAGCACACTCTCCGTTCAGGATCCATTTGTATATTAAGTTCTGTGATGCCGCGTTTGATGAAACCTGTGGTAGTGCTTTGCAGAGAATTTTGGGATCCCGCTCTAGAGAAGTCAGGATGAGAATGATGGTAATGAAACGGTCTTTCCCGAGGACTCACCACCTTGCCGGCCCGTTCTCTCCACTTAGGAAGGAGTAGTGTCCCCGGGCGACCTTGACCTCGTCATGTCGGACGGCCTGGGCATGCGGTACGCGTTCATTGGGCCCCTGGAAACCATGCACCTCAACGCCGAAGGTAGGTTTCCGTTCCATCGGGTTCAAGGTGGGTTCTGTGCTGTTTAGTGCTTTCATGGTTTTGTAATGGTCAATCTTGCCTTTTCTTACAACTGAATAGAAACAGTGTCGTGCAGGAGATAGCGGCCAGTCCGTCATTCACAGGGAGGGGCTGAGGGGAAAGTCCACGCGGGCTCCACGCACGTCCCTGTGGCAAGAACTGGGGGGTGGGGGCGAGATGCTGCCGACACCAACAAGGACCCTCCAGCCTGAGGAAGGCAGAGCTGTGTTTCCTGAGAACGATGGTGAAGTGCTTTACAGAGGCAAGAAGAAGAAATAGGATTGGGGACAAGACCACCGGAACCTTGACCGCGCACACCTTCTGCCCAAATAGGAGCAACTTCTGGGCGTGTTTGCTGAGCACGGGTCTCCTTCCAGAAGGTGGGGGAGGCCTGAGGGAGGGGCTTCTGCGCGAGAAGGGCTGCTGACAGCTGCGGGGACAGGCCTGGCTGGCGGCTGCCCCAGAAGCCGACCTCCAGGGGCTGGGGGAGTAGGTGAGAGCCAGTGAGCTGGTGACACTGAAAGAAAAAGAACTTGAGAAGGGGAGACTCTCCCAAGAATGAAACTTTCAGCCAGACTTTAATCAACTGAGAAAAAGGACGTCATTTGAAAAACAAGCAATAAAACCCTACGACAAATTAAGACAAAATAAATTAAAAAAGCTATGCATAAAAATCTGGGAAAACGTCACCTGAATGTTATTACTGCTGCATCTCTTGGTGCTGAAATGATAAGTAACTTAGCATCCTTGTGCTTTTTTATGTTGTCATAAATTTGTACAATTTTTATGTATTGTTTTAAGCATTAGGTTATTAACTTGTGAAACTTGAGTACAAATAGAAAACAAATGTTGTGTTCAGCTCTGTGGTCTACATTTAACGAACGTGTTGAGAAACTGGAGCATATCCAGAAGAAGGTGACCGGAGTAGTATGTGTCTGTCTGTCTGTCTGTCTGTGTCTTTTGTGGGGCTGGAGCTAGAACAGAAGACCGGAAACGGCCGGAGGAACTTCCTAGAACCTGGAGCTGATGTGCGGAGAGGCCCTGCTGTGAGAGGGGAGCTGAGGGGCCGGAGGCTGGTGCCCACCTGCCAGACACTTGGGTTGAGAGGAGACTCCTGCAGTGAGGTTGGGGGGTGGGGGCCCGGAGCAGGTGACCCCTGGGAGTCTGTTGGACGTAGATTTTAGAGTTCCACGATGTTTTCCTGTTAATTCAGTCACTTCTCACCACAGTAATTGGTGGAATATAGTTTCCAGTGAGTGAGTCAAGCAGTTTCCTAGATGCGTTGGTGCCCGGCTACACACGTGTGCACCCAGAAGCGGTTCAGTAGATTTTAGAGTTCCACGATGTTTTCCTGTTAATTCAGTCACTTCTCACCACAGTAATTGGTGGAATATAGTTTCCAGTGAGTGAGTCAAGCAGTTTCCTAGATGCGTTGGTGCCCGGCTACACACGTGTGCACCCAGAAGCGATTCAGTAAGGGACGGTTCTCCCTGGGGCGGAGCAGGGAGAGGGGCAGCGCTGAACACGGGGCTGCGCAGAGAGCAGCGAGCAGGGGTTCCCGCGATCGCTCATTAAAATGAAGCCTTGGAAAATTTCAAATGTTTTTTTCAGCCAGAACCTTAAAAGTGAGGAACATATTTAAGCATTTGAAGTGGACGTAGACACTGCCTGGTAACCGTCATGTTTTTTTCTTTCTACCTTTTTTTTTTTTTCCTTGAGAAAAGTAAGATAATTCAGGTATCACAAGAAATCTATAGGGAGAGACTGAGAACAGGTTTAACTCTCAAACAAATAGAAACAGAAGCCAATGAAACCAGAAACTCAAGAATCAAATAGTGTGCAGACAGGAAGGAGGCCCACAGCAATTTTTCAAACAAAGCAGAAATGATAAGAAAACCTAATTGGCTTAATATGATAGTGGTGGACGGACGTAGTTTTCAACTTCAGAGCATTCCAAAGACCAGAGTTAGACAGTTTTGAGATCTGGCTTGGCATCAGTGGAAATGTGTGTTATTCCTCACAGTGTCACCAGACTATATCAAGAATTCTTCCTTTTGGATATAGTTTTATATAAAGCCGACATCTCAGGTTAAGGCTAGTTATTAGTCTTTAAAAGCTACAGTTTATCTGGAAGTGGTAGAGGTATTTTAGGATCTGTTTTTAATCTAATAAAATAGCACCTGAGAAACAGGAGGCCAGCATGCCTACTCCGTTTGGCTACTTTTTAAGGCAGCGCTGGTTCTCAGAATGGTGGGTCTGGCTGGTGGAGCCAGCCAGTGCCCCACTGACCTGCGAGCTAGATGACCTTGGCAGGTCAGTTCACTGCACCTCAGTTTCCCCACCTGTAAAAGGGGTATAGCAGCAGTGACACCCCGCCCCTCACAGGGGTGGCATGAGAATACATGGTGTGGAGACACTGGGCTCAAGTTAGAAACCAGTGAAATGAGCTAAATCTAATTTCATGAGAATCTGTTTTCTCCCCCGCCCCTTGTCTTTTCTTATTCCGTATAAGCATCTCTTAAGAAGTTAGGTTCAGGGCTTCCCTGGTGGTGCAGTGGTTGAGAGTCCGCCTGCCGATGCAGGGGACACGGGTTTGTGCCCCGGTCCGGGAAGATCCCACATGCCGCGGAGCGGCTGGGCCCGTGAGCCATGGCCGCTGAGCCTGTGCGTCCGGAGCCTGTGCTCCGCAACGGGAGAGGCCACAACAGTGAGAGGCCCGCGTACCGAAAAAAAAAAAAAAGAAGTTAGGTTCAGAGTCTTCTAAAAAGCTAAGCTCTATGAGTTTTTGGAAGAGGGTATTGTTGACAGAGCAGAGGGCATGGATGTAAAGAAGATATGGGGGAAGGGCAGACGAGTGGGATAGAAGGTGAAGTGTTTTTTTTCCTTTCCATTTTTTTAATTTTACATATTTATTTATTTATTAGGCTGTGTTGGGTCTTAGGTGCCGTGCGCAGGCTTTGTTGCCCCACGGCGTGTGGGATCTTATAGCTCCCCGACCAGGGATCGAACCCGCATCCCCTGCATTGGAAGGTGGATTCTTAACCACTGGACCACCAGGGAAGTCCCTAATTTCCATTTTCAATGAAATTGTTATTCTAGAATAATTCCCACTCAATTCACCTTTCATGGTGTAGAGAAGCCAAAATTATCGTTGGAAATATTTAAAAGCCTCCTTTTTTACTCTCTAATGGAAGGGTATGTGTTGTAAATAATAGTAAGCGTGATACCTTCACTGGAAAGTTGTCAATAAGGCAGGCACACCGCAGAATCCTGACTGTAAGTCACTGTGAACTTCCTGTGTCTGGAGTGAGTGGAGGCTCCCAGCCTCGCCACAAACAACGGGCTGTTTATCCTGAGAGCAGAGTGCATGTTATAGAAAGTGTTTATGCTAATGAGACTGAAGTTTTAATTGGTTTTCTGAACAAGTTGGGGAGAAGTTATGAACTGTAAAGAGTTTCACCATATTTTATTCTGTTCTGAAGAAATAAAAGCCCTTTTAAAACTACAAATTGTATAAAAGGCAGTAGGGAATAAAAGATTCTAGAAAGCCCCTGGGAGACTCGGATGACTTCACAGGGGCAGTGAAAGAGGGACAGTCGTTCAGAAAACGTAAAGTGACCCAGAGGTGAAACACAGCACCTGAATCGAGTCCCGTGGCTCATTGCTGGGGGTTGGGGGCCGGGGCAGCTTGTTTCTCCGAAAGTGGGTGAGTTCGCGGCTGCAGCACATCTGCCTGCTCTTTTCTCACTCAGTGTCTCCAGCTCATTTGGTTCAGCGTCTCTGCTTCCCCAACGCGAGTAAGCTGTATTTGTGTCTGGATTTTATCACCTTGAGTTTGAATAAACCAACAAATAGGCACAGTGAAGTAAATACTGAGCTCTGGATCGTCCCCTGGTGCTTCTGGTAAACACAGAGAAACCCCTCATCTTAAAAGGGAGCGTCCACCACTTAATTGCAGGTGCTAACGTCAGAAACGTTGCATTTTCGAATTCTCACCCTTCGAACCACTTTCTCTTCTAAGACAAAGTGGGTATCATTTTATCACCCTCTGAGAGAAGGCAAACGATTTGGGACAAATGCAGTTGAAATCAGCGAAGTTAGGCTTTCACATCAGGGTAGATGCACCAAAAGCAACCCCACAGAAGTTGTTTTTCTTTTTTAAGGCGTAACTAGCGGAGATCATTTTTATTTTAAATGAATCGCGGAGTTTTCGTGGGGTCGGTGAGGGCCCAGCTCGGGATCTCTGCACATCCTGCAGTTTTGTTTGTTCCCTTGTTATCTTTTTAGCCCGACTGACCAACTGCCGAGTCTCCCTGGTTTTGAGAGAGGTTGGCAAAGGGCCAGCGCAGCTCAGCGGCTCCGGGGCCAGGCTCCCGAGGCGACCTGCCCGGCGGGCAGGAGGGAGGGAGGGGCGAGGGAGGGCCACGCTGTGCGCCGATTGGCCAGTCCAGGCAAGCCCGCCCCGCGTGTGGGCCGCCGACGGGCTCCCTCTCGGGATCGGCCCCCGCCACGCAGCCCGCGCGCTGCTCCTAAGCGCGGCGCCCCCCACCCCAGGGTGAGCCCCTTCTCCATGTGCGTCTCCGCCAGAATCCTAGGGCTCCGTCTTCGATTGAGGGCCCGGAAGCCGCGGGCGTAGTGGGAAGTCGTGTGGCCGGGGTCCAGGTGCAGGTCGGGGCCGGCGGCTGGCGGCGCCCTAACGCAGCGGCCACAGCCTAGCCAGCCCCTGGGGTGAAGAGCCCGTGTTAAGGCCGCCGCCGCCGCCCGGTGGGTCGAGTGCCAGCTAGAATCCAGGGAGAAGAGCGGAGTGGGCGACGGATTTAGTTGAACTTGACATCTTTGGTTCTTAGAAAATGCGTTCGAGCCATGCACACGAGTAACCTCGTAGGTACATCGTTGAAGGAGACGCTTGTGGTGAAAACAGGCTGAATGTGACAGTCGAGGAATCAGAGCAGGAACGTGGGCCGACCCAGCGTCCCTGAGAGGCGCCGACCCAGGCCTGGAGGTCGGGTTGCTTCTCGGGTCTTTATTACCGAGAAAAGCTTGAGTAGTGAGCCCAGGGCCGCTGACAGGGGTGCCTTTCCCACGCACAGCCCTGTTTCATCCACGGGAGGGTGAGCCCAGGGCAACACCCTCCGGACACATTCTTGGTTTGAGCCGCAGACAAGAGTTCTCTGACTTGCGGATTCTTGTTTTCTTCTGCTTCCAGGTATGTTAAGCTACTGTGACAGGTACAGCGAGGGCATGAAACATGTCCTAAAGACTTTTGGACCCATTCCAGAGTTTTCCGGGGCCGCAGCTGAAAAAGTGCACCAGGTGTGTAGACTCCCTGCAGGTGGAAGGCGAGGATTCGTTTGTAGCCAGGCTCTTTGCTTGACTTTGAGGTTCCACGTCCCTGACTGTCCATAGCCCCGTCAGGGTCTCAGGGGACCGTCCGAGCGGGGTGACCAAGGAACTGGCAGGTCATTTTGACTCGTCTGAAGGAACCGTCGGCCCCTCCGGATTTGGAAAGTTACACTAGTTGAGGGTTTACCAGGCTTCTTTTATCTCTGAAAGCAGATTCAGAGTTTTCTGCGTGAATAGAAATCTCCCTCCTGCCAGGTTAGCTGCTCTTCATGCTTCTTACGCCTTTTTCCCTCTTGTCTGTTCTTTCTCTTTCCTGTTCCCAGGCCATGTGCGTGAAGGTTCCAGATGACCCGGAGCACTTAGCTGCCAGGAGGGAGTGGAGGGACAGGTGCCTCATGAGACTTGCCAGACTGAAGAGCCAGCTGCAGCCCCAGTGAAGCCTCGTGCGACCACTGCCGCCCGTGCTGGAACGCGTTCGCTGGAAGCACGAGCCCCTGTCAAGTGGCTCAGAGACGCTGGGAGGCCTTGGGAGCCCAGCAGGCAGAGCACGGCTTGCTGTCCACTAGGCAGGCGCCTCGGTGGGCTGGGGGTCAGAGCAGCGCTGAGGTCTGCGGGCTGGATCCCCCGCCACCAGGGCAGCCAAGAGAGCAAATCGCCTGAAGGATTTACCATTTATTTCCCGTGTGATTTTTACATGTGGATACATTTCATAGCCAGTGATCGTAGTTTCAAGTTATTTTAATCTGCTGCAAAGTATTTTTATCATTATTTTCTGACCTCTTGCTGAGTACTCTGTGGCCCTGCATTTATGAGGCAAGTCCCTTCATTTTCTTGATGCTTATTCCAAATAAAAGCGTTTGATTCCATAAAGACGTCTTTTCCTTCTGTTCTTTCTGCGCAAGTCGGTGATCCTGATGACGGACGTTATCTCGAGTGACCACGACGGTGAAGTCGTAAGCGGATCCTTTGTTCAGAGCCCTCTGTCGTTCGGGGACAACCCACAGTTTGGGCCAGTGTTTCCTACGGCGCCACGGTCGGGTGTGCTTGGGAAGCCCCTTCTGGGGGTGGCGTGCAACCCACCGACGCCGCCACAGCGAGCGCGTGACCGATGACACGGCCTGAGCAGGACGAGGGTGACCCTGGGCTGTGGAGGCCGCACCCAGGACCGGGGCTGAGCAGAGGCTGGGGATCCCGGGCCGGCCGGTGTCCGCAGGGCAGCCCCCGGCAGGGAGAGGGCGCTGGAGCGCACAGACCTTCCCTCGGGCCGCGCCCCCGCCCCGCCTCCGGAGCCCCTCCCAGCCCCCGGCGGCGGCGGCGGAGGGCGGGCCGGCGGGAGACCCCCTTCCGGCTGTAGCACGGGGCGCTCCTGGGCGAGACCCTCGGCTCCCCTGAGCCGGCCTCGGGCTGCCCGGCCGGGGAGCCTCGCCAGGTTCTGACTGGCCCTGGGGACCCTCCCAAGCCGGACCCCCTTTGCCACTCTCCCTTCGCCACGGCCGAGGTCCTGCTCTTGTTGGACAGCCCGCAGGGCCACCTTGGCCTCTGGAAGAGCTGCCACATTGTCCCTTCCTGGGCTGTGTCCCGGAGCGCGGGCTCTGACAGCCACCTGCTTGTTTCAGTCCGGACCCGGGGCAGGGCGTCCCTGGAGGGTTTTCTAGGTTGGATCGAACCATACTTGGCGCTACAGCAAGCGGAGAGCTCACACATCCCCCACCCCCAAATTGTCACCTGCCCAGGTGGCGCTGGACAGGTAGGACTCGAGCAGCACAAGGACACCTGGCACTCTGCCTGGAAGTCCCTCCTGTCCTTTAAAGGGCGTCGCGTCGCCAGTCCAGTGCTGGGGCTGCCTGCCCCCCCCCCCACCCCGGAGCATCCCTCAGGTTCGAGGTGGTGACATTTTGTTTCCCTCCTCGGCAGGGAGCTCGTTTGTATTCTGCCGAGGTAAGAGCTCTGTTCCATTCCCTTTGGCCCGGCGTTTCTCCTTTTTTCAGATCTCCAGGCCCACGAATTTTGGGTCACTGCCCTTCCCCCAACACGCCGCTCGGAACTCACTCCTCCCGCTGGCGTCCCGGCTGCCCCGGGCCCTGGGCACCTGCAGGCCTGCGGCTCCCTGGGGCTCAAGCTCTGGGTCCCAGCCAGCCAGGCCTGCGGGCGCTGGGTTTCAGCCCAGTCCCGGGCTCGGGGCTGGTACACTCCTTTCTTTTCCATAAGGATCTGAAATGACCCCTTCACATTTTTGGAAAAACTGCCTTTTAATTTTCTGTCCTTAGATATGCTGTGCTTTCTCTTCTCTTCTCTTTTCTTTTTTTATTTGTGCGGAGAGTGGAGCTGGCTTTAACCTGAATAATTCCCGAGTAAGTTCACTTCCACCACCTCTTTTCTTCCAGAAGCGGGCTGTAGAGAAATACACAGCAGATCAAAGTTTACCTCCTAACCCTCAGGCCTCTCGTCAGGATGACTCCAAGAGGCTCCCCAGAGAGGAGATCGTGGGCCCCAAACGTTTCCTCTGTTGCACTTCACGTTTCTGTGTAGAGGCTGGGTTAGCATGCGAAGTGTGGACCAGTAGACAGGCCCGTGGGCTGGGCCCGACCCCTCCCGGGCACGGGCGCCGGGTGGGTTCAGCTGCTGTCGGGGGCTGCTGGTCCCTGCCGCCTCTGCCGGGTTGATGTACCAGCTGCGGCTGAAGGCGAGGACCGTGACGCCTCCCATCTCACATGTGCGGGCCTGGCCTGTGCGAACACCCAGGTGCCACCTCCCCCCGGAAGCCCTCCTGCCCCTCTGCCAGTTCCCCGACACTCTGCCTGGACCCGCGTGCGTCACCTCTTTGTTCTGCGCAGCAGCTGCGGTGTCACACGTTGGACCCCCGGCCGGCTGCGGGGGCTGAGGAGTCATTCGATGTGCCCAGTGGCACCCAACACAAAGCACGTTCCCAACAAACCGGCCCAACCAAACAACAAAGGAACTCGACGTGTCCACTTCAGGCCACCTCTGGCAATGACTGGGTAACCAGCCCTCTGCTGAGGACGAATAAGAAACACATGCACAAAAATCTTCTTAAAACATCGAAGAGCTAAAACAAGATGTGAGGCATCTGGGCCACAGTCTGAAAACCCGGGGAGGGCACACAAGCAAGGACACTTCCCAAACCACTGGGGCCGCGTTAACACAGCCCGGAGCCGACAGTGGGGCTCTCTCTGCATCAGTAAGAAAAGCAACCGCCATGTGCTAAAGCACAACTAAAGTGTCAAAGTCGGAGTTTCTTTTTCTTTTTTTTTTAAATAAATTTATTTATGGTTGGCTGTGTTGGGTCTTTGTTGCTGCGCACGGGCTTTCTCTAGTTGCGGCGAGCGGGGCTACTCTTCCTTGCGGTGCGCGGGCTTCTCATTGCAGTGGCTTCTCTGTGGAGCACGGGCCCTAGGCGCGCAGGCTTCAGTAGTTGTGGCACGTGGGCTCAGTAGTTGTGGCTTGCGGGCTCTTGAGCATGGGCTCAGTAGTTGTGGCACACGGCCTTAGTTGCTCCGCAGCATGTGGGATCTTCCCGGACCAGGGCAGGAACCCATGTGCCTTGCATTGGCAGGTGGATTCTTAACCACTGGACCGCCAGGAAAGTCCCTGAGTTTCTAATGAAACTAAGAAATTAAAAAACCTTGGGACTTTCCTGGCAGTCCAGTGCTTAAGAATCTGCCTTCTAATGCAGGGGACGTGGGTTTGAGCCCTGGTCAGGGCACTAAGATCCCACATGCCACAGGGCAACTAAGCCTGCGTCCTGCAACTAGAGAGAAACCCACACGCCGCAACAAAAGATCCTGCATACTGCAACTAAGACCCGACGCAGCCAAAAATAATAATAATAAATATTAAAAAATAAAAAGAAATTAAAAAACCTCATCAGTCGCTTTTGGAGCTGTTACAGACTAAACGCACTGTTGTAAAAAATGGCAAATAAAGGAAGGGACATATATCTGTCATCTGCCCACTCTCATCATGCCCCCGCACTGCATGCACACACATGGCACCCACCGGGCACTAGGTGCTCCTGGACACTGGGCTCACACGTGTCTCCCCAGTTTCCTTTTCTAGGTGACCCACTGGCCCTGGACCCTCCCACTGGCTGCTGGGCAGCTCTGCAGGCTTGGCCATGGGGGCCCCTCGTGGGCATCTGTTCCCAGCTCCGTGTCCCATGATGTCAGATCGATAGCCTGAAATCGGCCACCATGTCCACCACGGTGTGTGTACACGTGTGGGCATCTGGGACTCAGCAAGGCTCAGAATCAAGGCCTGTTTTTTGGTGTGTGTGTGTGTGTGTGTGTGTGTGTGTGTGTGTGTGTGTGTGTGTGTATGAAGGTTAAACCCTCACCAGCACAACACAAGCTGGCATCAACCTGGTGAGTCCTGCTTGGAATATACAAATCAAGTGTTCCGAAACCACCACACAGAGGAATACGTCCCACCCGACACGTGTTAAAAAGACAGATTCTGGGTCTCCCAGAAAGTCCTGCTGACTCGGAGTCTCCACAGGCGGGGCCCAGGGATTTGTGTTTTCCCAGGAATTCCAGGTAATGCTGGTGAGCAGCCAGCAACACTGTCATCCCTCCCCACCCACCTGACATCCTCCTGAAACCTCTGCAGAGACAAGTTCTTAGCCCCTCCCAGGGGGCCTGGATGACCCTTGGTTCCCGGTCATTCCATGAACCAGCCTCCTGTCCTGCTGCTCTTCTCTGCTCCCGCCCTTTCCAGGACCATTTGTACAACAGACCCGAGGGGTCTCCTCTCTCATGATGATGGGATTCTCCTTATGCGATTGGAAGGGCAGCTATGTTTCAAGAAAATGGTACTTTCCATAAGAAAAAGGGAATTGTCCAAGTATGTGAGATGCAAGTAAATTGAGCTCTTTTGAAACTTTGAGTCATGTCGTGTTAAACGTGCCATGAAAGCCTTATCCACCTGGACCCGGTTCAAGGTTTGACATTTACATGGCTCAGAGACCTGCCGCTCTGGCAGCGTGACCTGAGAAAGAAATAGTGTAAAGAAGCATCTCTTTATTAGTCCGAGACCTGGAAGCCAGTGCCCATGACGGGCCGTGCTAAGAAAACGGTCTTGACAGAGCGAGAAAGTTCATGTGTCACAAGAAAAGCTTACCTTTGATATTAGTGGAACTTTGAAAACTGAACCAGTAATTCTTCTCTAAGACTAAGAATTGGGAAAACTGTTTCTGACATCATGTAGGAAAACACAAGCCACCTGAACTAGGCACCCCTCCAAGTATTAGGGCCACTGCTGTGCTTAATACAATAAATCCTTTAGAAAACTACCCTGCACAGCTGAGTAAACTATGCCTGGCTCAGCTCGGTGGGAAGATACTTACCTCTTTCAGGCAGGCGTTGACATTCGGTCCTACCTATAGCTGAAGGTCTTCTCATAATATACACGTAACACATTCACTGTC